ACATCCCAGTTGCCCTTTACCCTTGAGTACTTTCCTATCATTTCACAATGTCTATCATACCTCCTAGTTTAAATTAACTCTTTCAGGTTTTACACTAGTGAAACAATGCGGAGCTTGCACATGCAGGTCTGATTTATTCCACTTATGAGTATGGTCTCTAGTTGTGACCATTTACCTATAAATTCCTCGAGTTTATCTTTCTTTATAGCTGAGTAATATTCCATTATATAAAAGTACCACAATTTTCTTATCCAATCCTTGGTGCATGGACACATCTTTTCTTTTTAAAATAAAGAAATCTGGATTTTTACCTGGAAATATTATAATTGCTAAAAACTAGTAACAAGTGAAATTTTAAAAGAGAAATTAGATGAATAAAGAAAAGTGGTATGTATACTATTTTGGTATGTGTCTAGATGTCTCCCCAAATCCTCATGCAGTCATGGGGAGGACTTCTAGTGTTTAAGATTAATCCATGGTCCAATGCTGGGATTATGGGTGTGAATGCCCTGGGGTGGATAGTTTACACGCAATATAAGGGAGGGAAAGAGGTTTGCTTGCTGCTTCTTCCTTTTGTTCTTGGCTGCTTTTGCTGTTTTCTACTGCCATGAGCTGTTTTCCTCTGCCATGTGCCACCCTGTCTTGGAGCCAGCTGAGTATAGACTGAAATCTCCACAAATTGTGAGCTAAATAAACGTTTTTTTCCCCTTAATTTTGAGCATCAGCTATTTTGTTCTAGCAATGAGAGAAAAGTAACCAACACATATACACAATGGGATACTATTCATTCATAAAATATTATTAAATCCTGTCATTTGCCACAACCTGGGTGGTACGGAGATCATTACATTAAGTCAACTAAGCTACACATGTAAAGACAAGCACCACATGCTTGTACATGAAAGCTAAAAAAGTTGATTTCATAGAAGTGGAAAGTAAAATAGTGGTTAAGAATTATAACAGGGAGAGAGACAGAGGGAAATTGGATAAAATTAAATTACACAGGAGGAATAAGTTCTAGCTTGTATAACACAGCAGGGTAACTTTTAAAAAATTCTTATATATTTTATAAAGAACTGTAAAAGAGGAGTTTGGAGATTCCTAACACACATATGATAAATGTTTAAGGAAACAAATGCTAATTACCCTCATTTGACATTACACATTGCATACGTGTATGGAATATATGGACTGCCATACTGTATTTTATAAATATGAACAGTGATTTTATGTTACTAAAAAGACAAAGAGAGATCAAAGAAAACACTTTTGAGCCCAATTCACCCTATAAGCACCAGGTTGCATTATCTGCTTTAACATATTATATTTTTCTACTGTCTGAAATTATATAAATTCCTGTTTGATTTTCTTCATCAGAACTTAATCTCCATGAGAGACCTTGCCTGTCTCTTCATTTGTATTCCTAATGCTTGCAATAGTGCCTCAAATATATTAGTCACTTTAAAAAAATAATATTACAGAAGTTTTAAGGAACATACACTAAAAATAGAATTCTCCATATAATGAAACTTTCTGTAACATCACCTAGCTTCAACAATTATTAACATTGTACCATTTTTGTACAATTTGTTTCTTCCAATGGCTTTTTATTTGAGCATTTATATGAAGATGTTTTAAAAATTATAACTACTATGTTACTGTTCTAAAATTAAAAATACATCATTAATATTATGAAATGTTCATACATTAAAATCTTCCCAATTGTCATATGGTATCAATAAATATTTGTTGAATACATGATAATCAAATGAATATAAGTATCTGACAATATACTTTCCCAGGCATTGAAACATAATCTTCTCATTAGAAATTTTAGGATGCTTTGTTAGAAAAGCCTTGGTTTTCAAAATTTAAAGGGTGGGAAAGTAGTTCTAAATGATGATCATCTAAGAGTAAAATTCTTTAGTGGACATTTACTCAAGAAAAATGAAAATATATTTTTGCACATATACTTGTACTAGGATGTTCATAGTAGATTGATTTACCAGATAAGTGCTAACAACTCATATATGCATCAGCCAGTGAATGGATAAATAAACTGTGCTATAGCTATATAATATAATACCACTCTGCAATAAAAGGAATGAAATGCACAATGATATGAATGAATGTCAAAAACGTTGTGCTGAAAGAAAAGAAGCCTGACACAAAAGTATCTACTATACTTTAGTAGCGGAACTATATGGTTCTACTATACTTTAGTAGCGGAACTATATGGTTCCGCTTATACGAAATTCCGCAGAAGGCAAAACTAATCTACTGTGAAAAACTATCAGAACAGTGGTTATTTCTATGGGAGAACCAACTAGAGAAAAGCATGACAGAATTTTCTGGTGTGATGGTAATGATTTCAGAGATGTTGGATACACAGGTGTTTTTATTTTTCAAAACACATGGAATTGCGTACAGCTAAGATGTGAATATGTTTTGTATGGAAATTCTACCACTAAAATAATGGTGAAATATTGAGGTGGATGTGAATTGATATCTGCTATTTACTTTGAAATGCATAAGAAAAAATAAGATGACTGGACTGAAGATGGATTAAAGAGATGAATATATGCACAGATATATGATGAAGCACATATATAAGCATATGTAAGATAAAACAATCTAGTAGTATTAGTTGTAGAATCCAGTGCTGGGTACTTCAGATATTCATAATTCTTCCAACTTTGATCTATGTTTAAAAATTTTTATAATAAAGTGTTGAGAAAGATCTCATAGTGGTTTTCAAAATATGAGAGAAAACAGAGGATACCCTGGCATTATGTATGACTTACTCTTTCTGAGTTCCTTGCTAAACTCCCAAGGTGATTTTGGATGAACTGACCTCCGCTCCCGGTTCTTGTGTAAACTGGTAGCTTCTTGGCCATATCAATGAGCATCTGCTTCTGGATCTCGGGTCTCTCTTCATTTTCATAGCGCTCCTTGTCTGTATAGGACAAGTGGAACTGGAAGCAAAAGTGACAGGCAACACTTTATTTTCCAAGGTTCACAGAAAGGATTACAAACAATAACTACTTAAATGAAAATATTTCTTACATACACTTGAAGTCGAAGTACTAATGTATCTTATAAATTTCTCTGACTAATTATCTCAATTTTCTTCTCTAGATTCTGTCTCAGCATTCATTACTCTATAAGATATGTGGTATTATTTTATGAATAAAACAAAAATTAGAGAAAGTGTCTTATCCAAGGTTGTACTCCCTCAACAAATAAGTAGCAAAGATTAGCTCCAAATTCAATTCACCGGACTCCAAGACTCTTTTCTTTCCATTGTATTGTACCATAATGAATGCTGCAGACAGATGTATGACATACTGCTACCAGGATCTTGTTGATGGCTAACCATGCTTATTAAGTTGTGTTTTTTACAGGTGACACCGATGACACTTTTAGAGAAGCTGTATAAGATTGCTTATGATATTTCCTACTCAAATGTTGAAAATGAATAGAAATTTGGATATTCTCACAATGTATTTGAGAAAATTTTAGTCTCATGTGGAGTCTGTTATTATTTCAGTGCTACACTCTGTTAGTCTTACAAAATTTACGCCAAGAGTTTTGCAAACTAATACAACTTTCTCCACGCTGGGCCAAAGGGTAGACAGGACAAAAAACTGAAAGGTCTCTGGTCAGAATTTATGGGTTTAAGCCTCATTGATGTCACTTAAAAGATAGATAATCACTTCTGAAAGTCTGACACTCTTATCCTAAGTTTCTTCATCTGTAAAATATAGGAAATAATATGTACTTCATAAGAAGTGCTGGGTAATAACAAGTAATTAAAATTTCCACTTGGAAACCTAATTTTTGGATTACTTAAAAACATCTGATATTCGCAGTCTTTTAAATATTAATTCTACTTGGTGTGCAATAGTATAATGATATTTAACACTTTTTCATGACTTCAGTGACATTTTTATATCTTATTGTGAATTACCTCCTTAAGTCTTTTGTCCATTAAAAAAGAATTGGGTTGGCTGTCTCTTCCTTATTGATTTGGAGAAATTCTTTATATATAGTGGATCCTATTCTTTTGTTGAAGATTTTACCAGTTTCTGACTTTCCTCTTCACTTCTTTATGTTACAGTTTGATGGACCAAAGATTTTGGTGGGAGCATATAGTTAGTTACACAACCAGTTTGGAAAATTTTGGCATTATCTTCTTAAGCTAAATATGTCTGCACAATGATCCATCAGTTTCCACCTTAGTTATATAACTAAGAAAAAATATATATCATAAGTCATGTAGAAAAATGCTAATAGAAGTTTTAATCATAAGAGAAAATATTGTAGCAAAGCAAGTGTCCTTCAGAAATAAAAAGGAAAAACTAACTAAAATATGCACCAACATGGACAAATCTGAAAAATATTATGTTAAAAGAAGGTTTATACAGAATAGAGTGTATATGATTCCTTTGTTATGAGATTAAAAATAGGGAAAACCAATCTACATTGAATAGCTGCTCAGATTAGTGATTACCTCTGAGAGACAGCTAATTGGGAAAAAGTATAATGAAGATTTCTAAGGTGCTAAAAATGTTCAATATCTTAACCTGGATGGTGGATATGAATATCTATCTATCTATCTATCTATCTATCAATATATACATATATTTATCTATGAAAAAACTCATCAAATTGTACTCTTTACAACTTAATACTAGGAATAGAGTATATCTGTTGTGCCTCTATAAAGTGGAAAAATACATCAATAAAATATTTGAGATAATTTAAATATATCCCACTTTAGAACTGGAAACGTGTAAAATCAATCAATTTTAAGACTCACACCTAGTATATAGTGTGTTTCTATGGTATTTCATTTTCAGTCGGAGTAAAGAATGGCCCTTTCGGGTATGGGGAAATACACAGGAACATTTTGAATCTTTTACAACATATGGAGTATGGTACAGGTATTTAATCTTTAGTCCAGGATGCTAACTACTCTGAAGTGAACTAACATGGGTGCATACAAGTAAGAATTTTCCAACGAAAAGGCTATAAATCAATGTTATAAAATAGTAACTAAATTGATATCAAACTAATTACTTTGTTTTCTTAGAAAAATTATACTAACACCAAAGTATAAGGTTTAAAATTATTTTTAATTTTGCTAATTAAAAGTATCCTCTTGGAGCAGCACTTTAATTTTTGAGATGTCCTTGGATATGTAATTTTCTTTTTTTTAAATGAAGTTTATTGGTACATTTTAGATATATATAAAGATCATATTCATCATAGAGAATTTGCACCTCTACATGATATATATTTTGATTCCTGTTTTTGTCCCAGTCCCTTCCCCTCCTTCAACCCCTCTTCCCCTCCCTATTTACAAGGCTTTGTTTCCACTTTGTCCTTTTTTATTTTTTCCCTTTTCCCTTCCTTCCACCTCCTTAGTTCCTCTTTCCTTTTGAAAAATTTCTTCCTGTTTCACAATATCTATTGTGCATTTTGTTCCTTATTTACTCTTTCAGTTTTTCCCACTAGGGAGACAATGCGATGTTTATACATGTGTGTCCGATTTACTACACTTAAGAGTATGATCTTGAGGTTCATTCATTTACTTAGAAATGTCTCAAACAAATATAATTTTCTTATGGTACATTGTACCTATCTAAATGGCACATAGAGTTGTTCCTACTTGTATGTGATGAATTCTTTGTGGTCACTCAACAAGCTGTACACTCATGGATGTGTACAGGTATAGATGTCCTTTTTCTGGCACTAGCCAAGCTTTACTGAGGATAAGAATACAATGAGACAAAAATGCATTTTGAGTGGGACAACTGGTGATAGATTGGGATACATTTGCTATTAGAAAAATTAACATTGAGGCTATTATGTAGGGCAATAAACTCTCCTTTTCACAAATTAAAAATGATAGAGATGTAGGATTAAACATTTGACACTTGTGGTACATGAGTAACACCTGTCATGTCATCTAATTTAGGCCTATAAAATTCCTAACTACTTAGTCTTTTTATTGGCCTAAAAGCTTCATAAATAATATGAAGGGACAATTATTTGTATTGAACTAAAATTCACATAACATAAAATTTCATTTTAAAGGCTATATTTTTTTTTTTTTTTGGTTTTTCTCCGGTACCGGGAACTGAACTCACGACCTTGCGCTTGCCAGGCAGGCGCTTTTGCCGCTGAGCTAAATCCCCAGCCCCCTAAAGGCTATATCTTACAGCATACAATTCACTGGCATTTAGTACACATGCAATGTCCTGCAACCATTACTACATTCTAGTTCCAGAACATTCTCGTTACCCTAGAAAGAAGTGTCTTACTCATTAATCAGGCATTTCTCATTACCTCCAGCCCTAGACTCTGCAAATTAGTAATCTGCTTTCTCTCTCTATTGGTTTGCTATTCTAGATATTTCACATAAATGTAGTCAAAATTGTGGCCTTTAATGTCTTGTGTCTTGCAATGAGCATATTCTCAAGGCTCATCTACGCAGCAGCATATATCAGTACTCTATTCTTCTTTATGGCTAAACAATATTTCAGTGTAGGCACACATCATACTTTCTTCACCCATTTTTTTTTTCCTTGATTGGCATTTGGTTTGTTTCCATCTTTTGCCTATTGTGGCAGATTGACAACTGGTCGGCAACTTGTAACACTCAGCTGAACTGAATCAGTGTGGTGCCGGGTGTGGAAGGCCCAGGTGAGGATTGTTGCCAACAGCATAAAAAGAGAACTGGAGAGGAAGAAGCGGGAGCTGTTGGTTCTCCTGGAGGAGCTTGTCGTGCTGGCTTTCCTGATGTGAACTCCACTGTTCTTATTGCTGGAGGAGCTCTGGACCTTATTGCTGAGAATGACTGCAGTTCACTTTCGGGGAGCTCTGTTCCTTACTTTTAGCATCACTTCCTGGCTCTGGAGGGGATGATGGTGCACTGTTCAATCTTCTGGAGACGCTTTTTGTGCTGGCTTTCCTGAGGTGAACTCAGCTGTTCTCATTGTCGGAGGAGCTTGTGACCATATTGTCTCTGAGGATGGCTGTGGTACGTCTGGAGGGAGCTCGGGTCCTTACTTTGAGCATTGCTTCTTGGCTCTAGTGCAGATCCCTCAGCCTGCTGGCACAGATCCTTCATCCTGCCGACACAGACCTTCTAGCTTCCACCACTGACCTTTGGGCTTTCCCAGCACAGATACGTGAAACAGACTTGCATGAGACACTATCATGGGTTCTAGGCCCCCAGTTGGATTCATGGCGGGCATTGTCATGGGCCATATGTCGTTACTGGGCTAGTGCAGGATATTGCCAGGGGATCTAGGCCCTCAGCTAAATTCTTTGGGTCTTTAGTGTGTGGACAGATGTCCTGTACTCTTATGTATTTGATTCTTTGGGTGACTATTAAAAATAATTCTATAAATTATGTGTCCTGTATTAAACTGTTTCCCTTGACAACCCTGACTACAACACCTATGACCAATAGTAAAGCTATGAAGAGTCCTGTGTAAGTATTTATTTGAACGCTTGTTTTCAATTCTTTTGAGAGTATACCTAGGAGATAAATTTCTAGGTCACCTAGAATCTCTCTACATTTAACTTTATTATGAACTGCAAAACTGTTTTCTATAGGAATATTTTAAATTCCTAGTATGAGTTTAGGAGGATTCTGATTATTTTCAGCTTCCTGTCAGCACTTATTTTTATTCATCATTTAATTTTAGCTTCCCTAGTGATTGTGAAGTAGTATCTCATCCTGGTCTTGATTTTGTATCTCTAAATGACTAATGATATTGAGTAGCTTTTCCTGTGTTTATCTGACATGTGTATGTATTTTTTGGGAAATCTCTTTTAAAGTCCTCCCCTTGTTTTTAAATTGAATTTTTTTGTTGTTAGGTTGTAAGGTTTTAAAAAATAGGCTCTTAATACTTAAACATCAGATGTATGAATTACAAATATTTTCTTCCACTGTTTAGTG